CCGGATTTTCCAAAAATAAAAAACACTCAAAATTCGGGCATTTAGAAGAGGAAAACAAGTTTTAGCAGTTGGGCATGTTTTTGCTATACATTAAGATTATCCATGGCCTTTCAAAACGTGAAAATTCAAGAAAAACGTTTTTTGGTGATTTAAGTTCCAGTCACAGACCGAGGTCTAGTCACTTGCAATCCTTTTCAGTCACAACCAATCCAATCCAGTCACATCCAAGTAATATCCAATTTATCTCAATAATGGAGTAAAAATAGACGTAAAAATCTGTTACAATTCACAGAGTCACCTATAGACACATGATGTATACAGTCCTTTGAAAAACCTTTGACGCTGACCGGCTTCACAGGACTGCAACCAGTGCCACGGAAAACATAAAAAAACATTTTGCATTTTTTKTGTGCAAAATTTCAGGATAGAATCAATAGTTATTTATGATRAAATAAAAATCATARGMTAAAAGCTGCAAATTCGGCGTTAAAAAGCGTCTACGTTCCGTACAATCCAGCTAAACGAAGTCCAGTCCAGTCCATCTATGTGCGGTTCCGGATTTTCCAAAAATAAAAAACACTCAAAATTCGGGCATTTAGAAGAGGAAAACANCTAAACGAAGTCCAGTCCAGTCCATCTATGTGCGGTTCCGGATTTTCCAAAAATAAAAAACACTCAAAATTCGGGCATTTAGAAGAGGAAAACAGGTTTTAGCAGTTGGGCGTGTTTTTGCTATACATTAAGATTATGCATGGCCTTTCAAAACGTGAAAATTCAAAACTTTTTACTGGGTCGCCTATGGCAGCCCAGTCGTAAAATGCCTTTTTTTCATAGTCTCAGTTCTTGCGAAATGTGACTGTCAGTATCAGTCTGATACTCTGGTTACTAAAGCAGTCTCACAATGCACTGCAATGGCAACTCGAGCCGGGTTTTTCTTCAACCTCGAAATTCTTAATTCTACCCTTCAACATGTCTGCCATGGTTGGTACAGACTAGGCCTTGCCTTACCTTTTTACAAAATTCTAAAACAATTACTGACGGGCAAAATAAACGACTGGGTTTACTAATTCAATATTGTGAGCTCTATTTCATGTTTAATTGATTCAATAATTCAAAACGTTAGACGAGTACAATAATCTTGTTTTAATCAAAAGTAATTACAGGTTTAATGCCATCTTTGTCGGTGTTTACTTGGCTAGTGTTTAGTGCATTTCAACGCTTGCCTCTTGGTTATTCTTTTATATCTCTACCGTTTCCTTGGAGTAAGTGTTTTCATAGGCTGTCAATATGGCCTCATATCTGTGAATATTTTCATCACGGTGCGTCAAGCTTGATTTATGATTCTATTTTTGTTGACAGTTCAAGGGCAAAGGTGGATTATTTATCACAGAAACAAACACTAGTCGACGTTAGGTATCCTATGTGTGGGGAGGTTTTGACATGACATATTGAATTGCTTCCGTCATATCACCAGGTTACTATACCGGCTCGTGTTAATATTTACATTACAGGGCTCTTGTTTCATTAACACTTTGATCAAAGTGTTCATCATGGTGCTTACTGCAGCAAGTTCATTATGTCCTGAAACTCCCTCACCTCAGAACTCTCTAGAAAAAAACGACCACGCTTGTTCTATAAATTACAAGGAAACTTGGAGTCTAAATCCTCCAAACCAAGATCTTGCTTGTGCAAGAGTCATGCTAGATAAAGCACGCGTACCAGAAGGAAAGAAGAATAGTGCGATACTTTATAATAAAACAAGACCCTTGGGATTCAAGAGCATTCCTACTCAACCAATACCACCAGTGGATCTACGATGCGTCGTTCCTGCTAAGGGACAAAAACCGTTTGGAAATGATCTTTTTCAAAGCAGCAGCTCTAAGTTGAAAGAGCAACGACATCCGAGACCTCCACGCTTTCCTCGCTCACACAGCTCGAAGGATTTACAACAAAGTCTATCAGGAAATAATGTTCCTTTGAAAGCTGGAAGAAGATTACTTCACCGTAGTTTTTCCTCTCCAAATATCAGCTCAGCAAACAGCATCAAGCTACCAAAACCAAGTCAAGATAAGATTAAAGACAATAAAATAGCTAAAAAGAATGAAGTGAAGCAAAGAAACACAGTAAAGGAGTTGCCATCTGTTGGGGCTGGAAAGACGATAGCACAATCCTGGAAGATTCCGTTCTCGCCAAGCAAGATGGTGAAACACATTCATCATACTTTGACTTCCTCATCTAGCAGGTCAACTGAACCAAGCTACGACAATGAGAATATGATGAAAGAAATAAGTCAGTTGAATGGGAGTGAAAGGGATGAAGAGAATGAATGGGATTGGAAGGAACTGAGTCCCACGAGCAGACATGTCGTGTTTGTCATGAATCACGATAATGGACGTATGGAAACGTTGGGAACCTTGCAACCGGTACCCGAGGAACCAGAGCACGAGCTGCACACGTGCAATGGCAAATCACCATGGCATTACCATGACAACGAACCAAGACATCACGTGGCTGAAGACCTAATTGAGTCGGATGATGAGGGACTGGTGCTGAAGAGTGACAACAGCTTGGACCCGATCAAGAAAGCCATGATAAACAATTGGATCATGGATGTGACCCTTAAGACATCTCAAGACGAGCAATCAAATCTATGACTTTTGTTCATCTGTATCATAAATTTTGTAAATATTGGACTGTATTCCATTAAACTTGGGTGTGATGTTTG